CTTAGAAGGTGCTGCTCCAGCTTCCAGGCCTAGACTGAAGAAGTTACCGGAGAGCTGCCTGGCAATCACAGCACTGCAGGACCAACATTATGGTCACAGCAACAAGCAAGACGCAAAGGAAGCCAGACTTAATCATGAATCCTTTGGCATTTCCTCCCTTTTCACTGCCCCACTGGCTCTGAGTGCCACAGAGGTCCCATAAGTCCAGAAGTCCACCCAGCTACAGCCAGGCTCTGCTAAGAAAAGGCCCAAGGGGGAGGGTGTGTGTGTGTTAGTGTGCTAGGCTGTAGCCAAAAGCTACACCGGAACCTGGCCATCACCTGGCCCCTCCCTGTTCGCTGGCCAGCCCTGTTCTGCCTCAGTGACAGGATGCGTGAGGCAACAGCCCATCCAGTCTGGCCTGCAGAGCAGCCCAAATTTGCTCTAGAGACTTTAAATGCTGTCACCCTGCATTTAACCCCTGCCTGACTGCCTCACTCTTTCCAGGACAAAAGGGGTTTTATCAGTGGGCCCTTCTCCAAGGGTGAGTGCACGACCTCAAGCATTGCAGAACAGATGACAAGCAGCCTGAGCTGCTGTCCATGACTGGTCTTCCCCGGGGCATGGGTGTGTACCAGGCGAGCTGGCCCTAAGATGGCATTTAGGGAGATGTGGATTGGGTCCCTAGAGATCCAGGCTGTCACTTATCATCAGACTGTGGGGAGGTGAGGGGCTTGCTCACATGTGCTGTTCCATCTGACTCCCCCGCAAAACCCACGCTCTCTTGGCCACTTGGATGAGCTCAATCCACTCCCCCCGGCCTCCCCATGGCATTAGATGGCTCATGAAACCACATGCGGCTTGTTCCCAGGCAGGGAAGGAGACATCAAACTCATGGCAACAGGCACCCAGGCCCAGGGTCCCAGTTTGCTATCACCATTGCAAGCCAGACAATAAATAATTGTTCACATGCAGCTGAATAACTTTCCTTAAAAACAAGATGGAGCAATCTTTCCTAAGCCATTTGGTTTGACCCCAAGTTGACTGTGAACTGAGCCAGGACCGCATTTTCAGAACATATAGGTATTTCTGAAGACTCTCCTCTGAGGCTATCATAGATGCAAACAGGGATCGAAGAGGAGGAGAGAACTGTTCCTGGGGTACATGCAGACCTAGAGATACTCCCGTCATCCAGACTTGGGAACTAGAAGCTGTACATGGATCTTAAGACTTTAGCAAAGGAGTGGCCCTCTCTTGGGTTGGTGGAACAGTGTCTCTCCAATAAGCATGATTTTGCAAAGCCAGGAGATGGGGTTCCCTCAACTGCCCCCCAAAACACATCAGTACTTATGTCTCCATTGCTTCCCACCTCCCTCCTTGAAATCCATGGTGGCACCTCTTTTGAATTTTAAATAACTACAAATGGGTGCTGGCCTCCAATCCCTCCCCTAACTGGGGAGGTCTGTATGGCTGAGGCCCAGCCAGCTCCAGACATGAATATATAGAGGAGGAAGCTGGAGGATGGGTGAATAACCTGGAACTTGCAAGTGAGATGGTGTTCCTTCAACTCTCCAAACCAGGCCAGCAGACAAGCTACATGAAAGCCCCCTAGAAACTCCAGATGGACGCTGCAAAGATGACAGCTTCTAACACATGCTTTTAATTACCAGTGACACAGTGAAAGTTCTGGGAGCAAATCCTTTCCATTTCCACCACGGAGCCAAAGCTAGAAGCTTCCCGTCTACGTCAGACCTCTCTCCAAGGTGGGTCTTCCTGGGCCAGGACGCATGCCAGCAGCAAGGACCTGTCCTGGAGTTGCATGCGTTTCAAAAGGCACCAGACCCAGAGAGCTTAACTCAGGCTGCCAAATCACGATTCAGAACCAATCCACCAACTCTCCCCCACCCCCAAAGAGCATATCCTCTTGGAGAAGCTGGCCTGTTGTCCACTGACCTCGTGTAAGAGGGACCCCAGCCTATCCCAGAGCCTGCCTTTGGGCGTCTGCCTGCTCATGTGTCTGTGCACGGGACTGTCTATCTGTATGTCTGCAGCACACGTGCGTGTGCGTGCACGCACACACACACACACAACCATGCACCGAACAATCCATCTGTCTCAGAGAGCCGGCTGTCAGAAATGAAAGTACAATCTCCTGGAACAGAGTCACAGCCTTCTAAAAATGTGCCATTTTCCCAGACTGAGGAAACTTGCAGGGGTGGGGTATGTTTCACTGCGAGTCCCGAAGGCCTGGGCCTGTCAGCTCACCGGCCAGCCCCAAGCTGCAAGGCTGGAATTCCAACCTGCATCCAGCGGGCCTGCTCCCAGCACGCCCACCGCCCACTCCCCTTCCTCGCAGGAAAGGGAAGGTCCAGCCTTGGAGTCACCCCTGCATTTCAGGAGGGGGCATGCCTTTAGAGCACACCCCCACCCCCACCTCCGAGGCACCACATTTTCACATTCGGCTGTTTTTTCTTTCCCTTCTTCCCTTGCCAAGAGAATCAAGCGCTGGCTCCCGCTGCCGACCTTCCTCCCACCCTAAACTGAGCCCCATTCATTAAGGCTGCACTCAGCCAGGGCAGGACAGGAAGGAAAACAGCACACAGAGCCTGTGAAAGAGACACTCAGAGAGGATATTTCAAGGGGGAGGAGAGGGCGATGCTTGTGGGCGCTTTCCTGGCTCCCCACCCTGATGCCCACTTGGTCCCCCTCCCCCAAAGCAGTCTCCCACCCTCCAGCCTCTGCTAACCCCTTCCCCTCCCCAGCCCTGCCCCATTCAGCCACTGCAGCCCCCACTGGCCTCATCCTCTGCAAGGCGGACACACCCAGGCCACCCCCCCATGGAAAGATCAACTTCTTGGAAAGGAGGAGGTTTGGGCTTCCTCCATTTGCAAAACCCTTTGCCCTGGACCAGGGCCACTACAATCATCTTTTGGGGAGCATTCTCTCTACAAACGGTATAGCCCTTGGTATAGCCCTTGGTTTGCTCCATGCCCATCGCCTCCCCTCCCAGACACCCCCAAACCACTGGCACCAACCCAAAAACCAGTTTCTTCAATTCCCCTCCACGGCACATTATAAACTGCTCCGACTCCAAATGGAAAGAAGAAAGAGCTCTAACTTTGAAGCCTTGGGAATTAGTAAATCAAGACCTAAAATTCAAAACAAACGCTCTTTCATGTGGAGGCCCTCCCCCTAAGTTTTGTTTTTGCAGTTTTGTTAAACCTCACGATCTCTTCAGAGACTCATCGCTGCTGCCTAGCAGCTCCTTGTTAATCTAAATGGTTGCAAAAAATTACCTTGGGGGTGGGGGGGAGTAGTTAATAAATGGTTTTACCCCCAGTTTCTTTCTAGGACCGGAAAAGTTTTTGGGAACCTAAAGCCCACTCATCTCAGAAGGGGCTTCAGGGGGCATGCTGTTCAGCGGATCACACTGTTTAGCTCTCGGGGCTGGGTAAGGACGCGCTCAGCCCAGTGGCGTCATTTCCTCCAGCAGAGGAGACAGACAAGATGTTATCAATAAGACAAACCTTCCGAAAAGCCCCCTTTCAAAAGCTACCACTTCCCTTGCTTATTTCATGTGGTTCGGAGGGGCTGGGGCTCCTCCCGGCACATTCAGGATTTAAAAAATAAAACCATCTAACAACATCCTGAGTGTGTTCTTTTGCCCAGACCCTTTCCTCTCCTTAGCCTTCTTTCTTTCAGGAACTCTCTCAGCCTTAGAAAGCAGAAAGGACGCAGGCCACGCATGCCACACGTCGCTGCACGTTCTCCCGACTGCTCCGCTCCACTCGCATCCTCACACCCGAAGCCCCCTCCCCTCTTTGGGTCCCTCTTTTTCCTGCTCAGTTCTCATTAGGAGCTTTGAGTCAACAATACCCTCTGTCTCAGATAACAGTCAGAGTATATATTGCGCTGAAACAAAAACAAACAAGGTCTCCCTCAAGACATTCTCAGCAAGCTCAATTCCTGGAGAGGAGAGCCTGGGAGGGACCTGGCCGGGATGAGACGAGCCTGAGCCACGCCTGACCACTGAAGTCATCGCACAAAAGAGGGCGCACCACAGTCCCCCAAAGACAGTTTTACAGCTTCCATCTGAGCTGCCATGATCCTACACCAATGTCCCAAAGGCAAGAAATGAAAAATGCTGGAATTTCCTTTTTTTTTTTTCAGGTTACTTTCCCTCTTGCTTTAGCTAGTTCTTAGAAAATCCAGTGATGGCATACTGGGGTGGGAAAAACAGGTGGAAACAGGAAGTCTTTAGAAAAAGATGGAAATGCCTCCCACTTACATGTGTAATGAGTTTCTCCAAGTCTATCACTGTCTTCTCACGTCCCTTGGGGACAATGATGCTCAAGCTATGCAGTGCGCCTCATCCAATCCCATAGCCCTCCAGCACTGGCGTTCCAGGCCCTCACTCATGCCCCTGGGCCCTGGAAAACCTTCCCTCCTGGATAGCAGTGTTGGCACCTACTGTCTACAGTGTCCCCACCCTGCCGCTCCCATCCCCAGACATGCACTACAGGATCCTGCACCACGCTGGACTGGAATTAGGGCTTGCAGAGAAGCATCAAGGACACCGCCTCTAAACTCCCATCCTACACTTGGGATCTGTCTTCAACAAGTTCTCCAAAGGTGGATCCATCCCCTTCAAGGCACCAGATGCACTAGGCCAAGAGCAAAAAACAGCTTAAACCCATGAACTAATGTCACCAAAGTCACCACATAGAAGCCCCTCGAGCCAGAAGCTGCTTAGCAATAACCACAAAACTCAGCACACTGGTCCCCAGCTGGCCCTATTTCCACATGGATGGAGCAGGCCCAGTGTCCTGATGTGTAAGGGACTGCAGAATGACAAGCTAAAGGGCCCCAGAGTCACCATGGATCTATCCAGTTTAACACACAGAAAAGTGAGAATTAATTCCAGACCAGCTGGGGTGGCAGAGGGCCACCCCCACTCCTCCCACCTCCAGTACTTTCAAGAGGTCTCGGAACTGCCAGGAAAGTAAGAGAAAGAGACTCACCTGAAAGCCCCCCAGGGGCCAGATAATTCGTTCCCCCTGTTTCAGCGGAGGAAGGCACAGCATCTGGACAGTCTGCTGTGGATTTGAAAAGGAGAGAGAGATAAATAAATACACAAATAAATAAATAAAAACACCAAGATTAATTTTTAAGCACATTCTAAACAGCATTAAAGACAAACCACACATTCCAAACGGCTGACTCCCAGCCACGATGCTGATTATTAATGGTCTGCTCAGGCTTCGCTGCCCATCATAAGACAGACCACAGCACCTTGTCACCCGTCTGGGCTCCAGGCCGCCAGTTAATCATTAGTCAAGTCAGGCTCGATCACAGACTGGCTGGAATTTCTCTTTTATTGCAAGTCCCCCATTGAGGAAACCAAGTAGTTCCCAAGGTCAAAGGAGCTTGAGTTCTGCTCTCTCAACCCCGGCTGCTGTCTCCTTGCCATCTTTCCTGGAGAAAAATCAAGGGCAAAGCCTCCTTGCTTGGAACCAGTGGTCTCTCTGCCACTCCCACAGACCAGTGTCTCACGCTCATCTTTTTCAACACAGACTTCCCAGTTCTTTAGGACTTTCTCAAGACTGGTGTTGCGCTGAAGGGACTTCTTTGTCCTTTTTTTTTTTTTTTAAAGATTTTATTTTATTTATTTTTCCCCCAACGCCCCAGTAGATAGTTGTCTGTCATAGCTGCACATCCTTCTAGTTGCTGTATGTGGGACTCGGCCTCAGCGTGGCCGGAGAAGCGGTGCGTCGGTGCGAGCCCAGGATCCGAACCCGGGCTGCCAGCAGCGGAGCGCGCGCACTTAACCGCTAAGCCACGGGGCCGGCCCTTTTTCCTTTTAACTGAGGTGAAAACTTTAAAATTTCCTTTAAACTGAGTATATAACAAGCATAGCAAAGCACACACATCTCAAGTACAACTCAATGAATTTTACTCATGTATACACCTGTGCAAAGCCACCACCAGATCAGGACAGAGAACATTCTCAGCAAAGCTTCCAGCCGGAGGGGAAATGTTCTACCTCCTTCCAGGCCTAGTCCCAACTCCCTATCTCTGGAAACCTTCCTGGGCAACCCGAGACCTGCAAGGCACCCTGCTCTCAGTTCCTTTAAAATCTCCTGGCACTCAGCTCTTGGAGTTTCCTTCTGCTGTCTTTACTCATCTTTTACTTTCAGATCCTGTCTGTCCTACTATACTATAGGTTCTCTTCAATGTCTTTGTCACCCTCAGGTGCTCAGCACAGTCACCAAAATGTTAACGAGGATAATGACAATTCCAGCTGAGAAACAGACTGCACAACCTCCCTCCAAGCAATTAAGACAAAAAAATATCGCCCACGAACCACAATTAATTAGTCCCATGAAACAAAAATACACAAGACCCTGTAAGCTTATCATGCACCACTGCCAACGCCAAACTGATTGGATTTCACAGAGAAAGGCCGGCTCAACAAAGGTGCTGCCCAGCTCCCCAGCACACGCACCAGGCTGGATGGTGCAAATCCCCGTCCCCCCCATCCCAGGCCACTAGCAGGATGTCCCTACAGTGTGCATTACCAGTTTCCCCCTGGAACCACTTGGCTGTGCTGACAAATAGGAAATCAAGCGAGAGAGCAGCCCAGAGACAGGTAGCCCATGGGAGCCGTTAGTAGCCCAGCAGCTGCCTCCACTCCCTGAAAAAGGGTTGGGGGCTGAGCCTGGTCTACACATGGCCCCAAACAACCTCTGGGTGTCTGCTTCCTGTCCCCCTCGACTCTCTCTGAGATTGTCTCTCTAATCCCTCTCCAGCATTCTCTCAGGCTGGAAGAACAACTTTTCAAGAATTCTCCTCAACAGAGGAGGAGGGAGCAGAGCAGCAGGGATAGTAGGCAGGGCAGAGAGAAAAGACTGTGTGTGTAATCTCGTTTTATCAGGGTCAAGTAGAATTCCTAACAGGAATATACAGTTTTACAGGATACACTTAATCAAATGGAAAACAATAGGGGAGGCAGGAAATGGGGCTGCTTGTTCAATGGTGTATACCCTGCACTTTCTAAACTACTTTGATGGCCTCCCCATGTTCTAGAGATAGGCTTCTACCCACCCCCCAACGGAAGACACCCCCTCGTTAAACAGGAGGACTTCTCCGCGGCCACTCCCTGCCCCCTGCTTTGTCTGGCTCAATCCCAGAGGCAAGGTGTGTTTCAAAGGAAGAGCCCAGCATCTCGGGGCAGATCTGGGATCACATTCAGGGTGTCAGCCCATCTCAGATCAAAGGTAAGCCAGCTCCACACTGGCAACCACAAGTGTTTTTATGAAATGGTGCTCTGCCCTTATGCAGGGCCTTTGATCTCAGGAGGGATTTACAAACATTAATTAGGCCTCCCTACCACCCCTGTGAAGTAGCAAAGTATACCTGTTTGACACTCAACCAGGTAAACTGAGGCGTCACTGACTAGCCCAAGGGGCCACCCAGTGAGCTGGGCCATACCCAAGAGTTCCTGGCCTACAGCTCTCCCTCCTCAGGCAGGCCAGAGTCCCAACTCTCCTCCCTGCAGGTAGTCAGGCTGAGACAGCCTTCAGCATCCAGACTGGCCTCAAGCTACTGCCAGGCTTGTAAAGGTCAAAGAGGCCACACCTCCATCCCTCACCTACAAAAAAGCTCCGGCAAGACAGATCTCCCAAGTCAGGGTCTCAGCTTCTGCCTGTGTCGCCCGCTCCCCCGAGCCCAGGTTGGCACACACTCAGAAGCTCTAGGCCATTCCTGGCTCTCATCCACCGCTAAACACTACCAAGCACCCAGTAAGTGCTGGGTTCTGTGGGAGAAAGATTCATTCCCCTCTCCCAGCAACGACAGAGTCCTTGAAGACGCCAGCCTGGGGAGCAGCCAAGGAATGAGCTGCTGAGAGGGGTACAAGGTGAGTGAGCTGGGGATCCCACTTCTCTCACCAATAGAATGGCTCCTGGAGAGCCAGGACATTCTTGTCGACTTACTTCTGAGCATCTTAAGTACTGTCCAGGACAGAGGAGCCCCCCCAATCACCATCACCACCACCAATATACCCTAAGTGTCCCAGCTCTGCCCCAATCCACAACCTGGTTACAGGACAATCCTCTGCATTGGAATCATCATATTTTCAGGCAGGCACATCACTGGGCCTGTAGAATGAATGAACGAACCAATAAAGGAGCAAATGAATGAATCATCTAATCTAACTCTTTGATCATCTGGATTTAAAAAGAGGCTTGGAAAAATTAAGAGTGGCCTGAGTTAAGAGGTAAAGGCAGAGCTAGATGCCACACTTCTCATCTAGGCTTCAGAGGCTCCATCTGCCATGGGGCACTGGGCACTGGTCACCCGGTCCCCCGCCTAAGCAAGTGCTTAGCCCCCGCCTAAGCAAGAGTGCACCCAGCAACATCCCTCCCTCCAGCCATCCTTCAAACCTTTCAGACCATCAGATACAGAGGACACCAGGAGCAGAGCCCATGGAGCCATCCCCCCAGCATCCCCACTCCATAAACTAGATCTAATTTTAAACAGCATGTTCTTATTCCTTGTGCCATGAGATGGGGGAGTCTTCCTGACTTCTGATAGCCACAAGTCACAGCCACCCTACCCCTAGGTTCAGCCATGTCTAACACTCCTTCCTGGAAGATCTTGCTGGCTTGGGACCACCTAGCACCCAAGTCTACAAGGTCAGGAACTCCCAAAGGCCACAGTGGAATGGCTTGAACCATTGCAAAATGGAGCTCCGGGCTTTTAGCCCTTGAGTTCCTCCAAAAGCTAGAGGCCAGCCCCCTTCCCACCACCTCTTCCCAAGCTGGAGACTTCACAGAAGAGATTCCCTTAGTTGTGCAACTGGTTAAGACTTTAACAGTTGTCCACTGTAAAACCTTGTGCCTGGTTCTCACCTAGTAACCCAAGACCACAAATTCAACCTAGGGCTTAGAAATTTAAGAATGTAAGCGGCTGATCTCAATTCCCCAGCCAAATACTCTCCTCCCAAGTACAAGGTGAGGCTAAAAGCCAGGGGCAGCATCCCATCTGTGTGTGTGTGTCTGACCTCAGCGCCTCTGGCCACAGCAGCCAGCAAAACCAGCCCCAGACCTGTCCAGGGCCCCTCCACTCCCAGACCTGGCTGCCCTCCAACGTGTCAGGACAGTTCCTTCCACAGGGGCTTCGCCTGTTACCACCTCATGTCTTACACACAGCACCTTTATTCATTCCTTTTTTTGTTTCTTTTTAAACAAAACGTTTTGGGTGAGTAACCAGCTGTTTGAGTTTCTGATTGGCAGGTTAATCACTTCCTATTGGCTGATCTGGAGAACTTTTCTCTCCCTTGGAAATGGCACATTCCTGTCTTTGTGGCTTCTCTGTTTACACACATTTTGCTACCTAATGTCAACACTTGCTAATGAATAAATATATCACTCCACTCTCTGAAAATGAGGTCTTGGCCTGGCAGAACGACGGCTTAAATCCCGCGAACAGATTTATCCCGGTATCTTTGCAAAACCCAAGAGAATGTGGCCCTTTTTTTCTAGGATTTTAGGAAGTTTCTGGGAACATTTACCACTAGGAGTCTTTACCCCTTGGGCCAAGGTGACTGGTCTTTCTCTTTCTCTCTCTTTCAAGGAAAACCACCAAATTTGAAGACTACGGAAGGAAAAACAAAAACAGGACAGAGATGGCCCCTTGGAGAACTAACCTCGAGAAAGAATTCTTGAGTCTTGAAGCCAAAAACCCAGTCAAGTTACATTCTTTGAGAAACAGAGGTTGATAATCTCAGTCAACGTTTGTTACGAATACAGAAAGCTGGTTATCTCCTCATTAATGACCATTTATCTGGTGTTTTGTAAATCGAAAGCAAAATAATACATGCTCTGCAGGCCACTTATTACAGGCACCAGGCAGGCAGCAACGCCTTCCTGACTTGAGGGATCGGTGGAGTCCCGGGAGAGCTGGCTGCAGAGCACGGGCTTCAGTTACACCGTTCATTAAAGTATTTAATTTATGACAACGCCCCAGTAAAACTTTTAATTAGCGGGGGAAAGGCCCAACAGCCAAAACTCATGAGGCGGAAGGACCTGTAGAATTCCAAAAGCCGAATGGGGCCCAGCCCTTCACTTCTTCTCCCAGAACCTTAGAAAAATAAAAACTTCAGAAGAGTTGCAATTTTCAGGGAACAGTATCTAGGCCCGAAGACCCAGTTACAATCCATACTCTCAGCAAATGAATCTCCCGCTCTAAGAAGGGGCTCCAGCACACAGAGGCCTGTCCCTGTTGTCACCTCCATGTCCCCATTTTGCTGACCCTCTTCTCCCTGGCACTGTTAGCGCCCCAGGGTGAGCCCCTGCACTGCCAGCCAGAAGCTGAATGCAGACAACCGCAACAGGGCTGGTGCCAGTCTCAAATGGGCTTTTGCCCTGGCCCCATGCCAGCCGGTGACAAAGCAACAGGCAGGCAGACCTAGGCTAAAAACTTTTACAGCCCCTACCAAGAATTCTGAGAAAACCCTGGAGAGTGCTGACCAGCAGGTGAGGGGAGCAGGGGAAACCCGTGGGGATGCTGGTGCCTCTACTTTTCCCATTTTCCAATCTCTCACTCCAGGTCACGGTCCTCTCTGCACTTTTTTAAACTGTCTTCCCTTCCATCAAACTATCCATTCTTCCCACCCATTCTTCTGGCACTCCCAGAGTCTCCACATTTTCCCATCAACCTGTCCTATTTGGTTCCCAGGATACTTCTGCGTGGATCAAATTCCACGTGTTAAAGCTGAGCCAACTTTGGCCACGGAGTGCAAACACAAGAAAAAGGAACAAAATGTAAAGCATATCTAGGAAACGTCGCTGCCTCCCCCCTAAACATATATACATATCTCCAGCCACAACAAAAACAGGAAAAACCCACCAAACTTCCAACAGAGGAAACCTATAACCACCCCCGAGCAAACCCAGCGCCTCCCCAAAGCCACTGCCTAGACATAAAAATCTTGGTTCTAGAGGCTCCATTTCTAACTTAAGATAGGAAGGATATTTTTAAAATCATCTACTCACCAGTTGGTTTGAGAAAATCCATCGGGTATCTGGAGTAAGGAGGAGGGGGAGACTCTGGAATTAAAAAAGTAAGAGAAAATAAAGGCCGGGCCATGAGAAAGAGAGATAGAAACTTATGATAACAGAGGCATTCTTTTAGCCCAACTGTTTGTCTTAGCTGTGGGGGTTGGAGGCAGGGCCGCGAGGCGGTGATTGCCTTGATATTTAGCTGTCAGATAAACAAAAGAGGCCGCCTGGCGCCAGCCTCGGCGCTCCGCTCCTCCACGTCTGCGGCCGCAGCCTCTGCGCTCCACCGGCCCGGCTGGAAACCACCGGCTCGGCCGCGGCCGCGCACTTCACAGTTCACAAGGCGGGGGTCTACATAGCCCCCTCCCCGTCCCCGAACTTCAGCCCCGCTCCCACTGTCCACCGCCCAGGCCCGCCCCCAAGGGGCGCAATTCACCTCCGCCCCCGCCGCTGCGCTCGGCGCCCGCGAGGGGAACGCGGGGCTCCCCTTACCCAGCCCACCCGGGAGGCGCGCCCCAAGAGCGCTGGTGAACTTGGGAGGGTCTGTGGGCGCCCAGGATGCACCCGCGCCCCCATCCCCCCACAGAGACGTTGAGAAAAGGGAAGCAATGGAGGCAGCTGGAAGGATAAAGAGGAGGAGGCTGGGGTCTCGGCGGCGAAGCCCAGGCCCCAGCGCATTAAGAGGCAGCAACGTCACGGAGGCGCTGGGGGCAGACCTACAGTCTATACAGTTCCATAGTCTGCGCTTTCCTGTGCTGAAAGAAAGGAAAAAGCAGGGGACACGCAACTTCTCCTGACTGCTTGTTCTTTTCCACCCTGAGTTGGCATAGAGTTGAGAGTAGATATCCAGTTTGGCCTCCCTCCCTCCCTCACCCTCTTTGCCCCAAAACCCCAAAGCTGCGCATCCAGGGCAGTATCCGGGCCACTTGTGCACGACGTGACTCTCCTTATTTACTAAAGGAGCAGAGGCTCTCCAGCCTTTACGAGTCGCTTCTCCCAGCCTTCCTTGGCGGGCTTGGACCGAATCCAACTCGGCCACACACCTCAACGCCTTTCCGGGCGCGGGGGAGGCGTGACCCCCAGTTCTCTCTGCACCCCCAACTGATCCGGAAATGAGAGCGTCTGATTTTTAGCCACACGTCTGTAGAGTGTGTGCAAGAGCAGTGCCCATAAGCCCCCCTCGGGGCAACCGAGGAGAAAAAAACTGGAAGGGAACCCCCCAGGGAATGCCCTTCCAGTTTCCCCTTGTTCCTTCTCTACTTTGGTCGCCCAAGTCTCCTCCCAGGAGGGAATGTACACTCCCCTCCAGAGAGGTGGCTGCACAAACACAGCCCGCAGGGGCTTTTCTTCCACCACTTGAGCGCCAGGGGGAGGGGAAGGTGGGCACAGAACAACTTCTTACCTAGTTCGCAGAGTCGGCTAAGGTGATGGGGGTTGCAGCACACCAGCTCGGGGTTGATCTTCCCGTAAGATTCACAGCAACACAGCCTCTTGACTTCCGAGGAATGCCTGAGATCCGGCCACCTGAACACTTTGCACAGCAGGAGAGGGAGCGAGTAGGACGAGGGCGGCTGCGCGGGCTGCGAGCCGGCGGGCGCCCCCAGGCCCAGCCTGCAATCCAGGCGGCCGGGCAGCAAGAGACACGCGGTGCGCGTACCGCCGCGGGACTCCACGGCCTGGAGCAGCAGCTCCAGCTGCCGTTCCTTCAGTTTCTTGAGCACCGAGTGCGTGAGTGCCTTCAGATCCGCCTCGGCGCCCCCGGCCGCGCCGGCGCCCGCGGCTGGGGGGTGGGGATGGTGGTGACCTTTGACACCTCGGACCGCCTTACCCAGGCAGCAGCCAGCCCTGCCCGCGCCGCCGCCACCGGCCCCATGCGCCCGGCCGTCCGTCGCCCCTTCTCCCCGCAGCTCGCCTCCTCCTCCGCCTCCCCCCGCACCCTCCTCCTCGTCCTCGCCGCCGGGCGCACGGCTCCTCCAGAGACGCCGGACGAGCGCAGATCGTTTGGTCCTGAACATGCGGGGCGAGGAGGCGAGGAGAAAAGTCGTTTGCCGGCTAAGGAGCGAACATGACCTCCGCACACCATGAAGAAGTCGGGCGCCGAGTTGGGGCAGCAGGCGCAGGCGACAGCAGCAGCAGCAGGGGCCCGGGCAGGAGCGGCGACGGCCCGAGGGGCGCTCCGTGGCATGCGCCAGTCTCCCGG